CACATGCAGCCTCAGCCTCTCTCTGTCATGGCGCCAGGAGCGGCCGGCTGCCCCCCTGCACGTGGAGGTCACGGAGCCTTTCCTGCACGCACAAGGCAGCGCGGAGGAGCCCCTCCCCGCGCGGCTCTCTGTCAAAGCTGTCTCAGACACAGACGACAGGGGCTGGTCCCTTCCCCCCGCCACGCAGCAGGCTCTCAACCAGCCGGAGGTCCCCAAACCTGCATCTGACCAGGCGACTGTCGGTCTCCTGGACGGCTGTGTAAAACTGACGTGCTTCCCTTTGGCCTGGCTCACTGGACAGCTGCCACAGGGAAGAACGGGCACGTGCTGCCCCGAACCGAAGCCGAGACCTAAGTACCAATTTTCTATCAGTCACGTAAACAACAGCAACGACAACTACATGGCCCCAAAAGCTCCCGAAACGAAGGCAGCGCACACGTTTTGTGGGCCTTTTATTTCCTGAACACCCACCGGGACCCGGGACTCGGCCAACTCGGGATCATCGCAAGGCCTCGCTCAGTCTTTTTCATCCGTAAATCCCTGACCTTGGTGTTTCATCGGAAATGCGCGGAGAGCCAGAGTGGACAGAGGATCGTGGGCTCAGCAGCGTTCAGTCTCTCGTGACCCTGGACTTGGCACTGAATCGTCTGAGCTCAGTTCCTCCTTTGCAGGTGGACGGCTGAACTGGACGACCTGTGCCAGCGCTGACGGCGCCACACGTCCCACCGTAACCGCTGACCACGTTTAAGGAGCTCACGGGCTGCGTCCTCCCACACGAGCAAGGCCGGCAGATCACTCGCAAGCACGAATCACCTTTCCTTGGCTCCCAGGGGGCCCTGGTCACTCTCGGCCCAGGGTGTCCCGGGTGGCCTCTCATCGGAGGAGCCTGCGAAGGCGCCCCCGCCCGCCTTCCCACCAGCACACGCAACTCTTCCGTTCCTGCTGTCAAAGCGGGGGATTTGTCACTGAGGTCGGGGCCTGGCAGTCACCTCCATGCACATGTCCGCTGCTTCTCAGCAGAGGCGCAGTACGGGCGGCCGGTCTGTGGGAGGGGTGCCCCATCATTACCTGAGTGGCAGTCTCTCTCAGTTATCGGGTGGCAGGGAAGTGAGTGTGGCTGTAAAAGGACGACAGGAAGGATCCCTCTGGTGACAGGAATGTCTGTCTGTCGACTCAAACCAGTCCCCTGACTGCACTGTTTACACTGTCGCTTCACCAGATACTCCCGGTCGGGGAGACGAAGGCAGACGGCTCTCAGATTATTTCCTTACGACTTCACGTGAATCTGCAATAATCTCAAAGACTTGAAAACTACTTTAAAATCATATTTCCATACGCCGGAAAACAGCAGTTAGAAAACAAAATCATTAAAGAGATGACATTTACAATTGGATCAGGAAATGAAGAAAGCCCAGGAACTAACCCAACGAAGAATATGTAAGCGCTTTCTGAAGACAAGCACACAGCTTACTGAGGGGCATTACCGCCTAAGTAATGGAGAGAGAGTCATGAAAACAGGACATTTTTATATCATAGGATGTCAACCCCCCTCATTCACCTATAAATTTAGTGCAGTACTCACAAAATTTCAAGTACTTTTTAGAACATCACAAACTGATCCTTACTATCGAGAAGCAAAGGGCCCGAAACAGACATACCTAAGTAAGCAAAAAGAGGGAAAATCTTCCGTACGAGGGAACAAAAATGACTTCATAAGAAGTAGAGTTTGGGCACGAGGGAAACAAACTGACCAACAAAAGAGAACGGAGAGCCTGGAAACGGCCTCACGCCCACAGGGGGAGCTCGGTTTGTGTCAGACCCCAGCACTGTGGGGACAGAGGGGCCCTTCCATAGGTGCTGGGACAACTGGTGAGCCGTGTGGGGACGATGCCAGCGTATCCCTACACCTCACGGACTCCATTCCCGGTGGATTAAACACATAAACACGGAAGGTCAAACTCTAAGACAACAGCAGAGAACAGCCACTATGATGGAATGTTTAAAAAAGGATAAACTTCTTAAATAGGAGGCGAACGGCACAA